GGAGGCGGGGAGGGGCGGTGCGTGCGCGCTCCCGCGGGTGGGCGGGCGCGCGGAGGAAGTGAGAGCCTTCAGCCTTCCCTAGCTAGTAGGGCTCGGGGACGCGCTAGCAAGAGCCCGGCTGTCTCAGCGGTCGTCCTTTCAAAGGCCGGCCAAGTAGGGTAGAGAGTAGTGGAACAAAAGAATTCAATATCTTTGCTGAGAGATGGAGGAGAAAGGTTCGCCACTGGGCCAGCCTGGAGAAGCTTGCTCCACTGTTGTGCCGGTTCTCCCAGGTGTTCATGTAAGGCTGCCTGCGGTTGCAACAGCACCTCAGTGTTCTTCCTACTTGCTCAACCTCCGAAACCTAAGCGTTCTTTTGCCCGGAAAGCCTTGAAAATGCTCATTTGGCTGTGTTCAAATGCATACCATATTCAGAAAGGCCGTAGTGAGGCCTTGCCAGACCCTAATGACTAAGCAGTCCTACCAACAGGGTCCTTGACAAATACTCATTACCAAAGTGGCACACAGCAAAGATAGCAACGGTACAGACAGTACTCCTGCCTGGCCTGAGAACTTGACCTAAGACAGATAACCGTGACAAACCACCTGCCATTTAGCCCCTTAGTGTCCATTTCTTTGTGCATAATAGCCTGCTTTCTTTGGACTTCTAATGTATTACCTCTGGGTCGGTCCCTCAACTCCATCCAGTTCCTTCCACAATATTTACTAAACTAATAAAATTTCCCAAGCCCTGTTTGATACCCTGAAGAGACTTATGTGGAAAAGATGTGTTCCTGCTGTCGTAAAAGTAGTACTCTAGACATTAGGCATTACACAGGTAAGATAGGTGTGAGCTATCTGAAGGATGCCTGTATATTGTATATGTTACAGAACATCACAGACTCTTCTCGGAGTTCAGTGCGAGCTGTCACCTTTGATTGCTACACTGATTATAAAATGACCACTTCGATAACATGGCATTCACTTGCTAACCAAAATGGCCAGAGAGAGGAGGAGAGACAGCAAACTTCTCAGGCTGTGTCTGGCAGCTTGTGGAGGCTAAGCAGGAGGGTCTGGAGTTCAAGGCCAGCCTGAGCTACAGAGTGAATCTGAGGCCAGCCTAGGACTGCATCACGAGACCTTGCCTTTTCCAAAAAGGAAAAGAGAAAGAAACTTTGCTGTAGACCAGTACAAAAGAGTCAGCTGAGTAATGTGATGACATCTTGGGCAAATAGCAGCTCACATCTGATGACTGCATCACTGCACAGAATGGCAAAACAGATACCAGGATAATTAATAGGACCAGCCATCGTGCTATGCCTCTGGCTACCCAAACATCTTCCCACGCTTGAATGGACTTCCCAAGAGAGACCACTGAAAATACCCAATTGCTACCACATCCTGTTCTAAGTCCAAGATCTTCCTGAAGTTCTGCTGTTCAAGGTATCATCCCCACTCACTCAATACGCCCAGTAGAGAATACTAGCAAGGGAGCGAAAGAATCACCGTGTTTACAAAGACCTCCAGCTCAGAAAGGGTGTGGGTGAGAAGCACACCATATAAAGTTGCCCTAGCAATTACAGGAATAGTAATGCAAGCTTCCCTTACTAACGTCAATAATCTATTCCTGAAAACCTGACGATCTGCAAGAAAAAATGCTGAAAAGCTTTAAATGAGAAAAATAAAGTGAATTATACATAAGCCTCCCTTCTTCTTCAAGAATTTGAATTAAAATATAAAATATAAATAACAAACTATCTACACAGAAGCCAGGGGCTGAGTCACAACCTTTGGCCTTGTTGGGATGTAAGGGACATGCAACGACTGGGGACACGCTGATATGATGGCCCATGCTGTCACCCGGGGCCATCATCCAGGCCTGAGATGCTGCCTAGGGCCATGTCTGAGATGACATCACAGCTCCTGTTACCACCAAGAGCCATGCAGATGTCCAGGGTCTGGCCAGCCACCTGAGACCATGTTGCTGTCCAAGGGCTGTGCTGTCGCCGGGACCATACTGATCTGGGTGATATAAGCTGCCACAGAGACCATGATGGCATTCAGGTCCGACTTGCTGCCAAGGGTCATGTCTAGGTTCGTGGTCCTGTTACGGTTGTGGTCTGTGTTGGTATCTATGGTTTGTGTGACCACAGGGGGCCATAAGAACCATACATGATGAAGTGGCAACAGCCAGCCTGAGCCGATCCTGCTCTTCTCTGGCCCTGGGAAAGCTGGTCCTGTGCCTCCCTAAACACTGCAGCAAGAGAACTGGTCCTGACCCTCACGGGAGAGCTGGCTACAAAGACCCAGGCACAGGGGAGCTGGCTCCTGGCACTCAGGAGAGACAGCCCTACCCCTCACACGGGTGTGGGAGAGCCGGCCCTGATGGCATATATATTATATGAATATTATTTTAACTATGTAAAGATGTATAAAAGGTAGGGCCCACTTGTACATCCCAGCTGCCCAGCTAGCTTAGCCCCAAAATAACCACACAGAAATTGTATTCATTAAAACACTGCTTAGCCCATTAGCTCTAACTTCTTATTGGCTAACTCTTATATTAATTTAACCCATTTTTATTAATCTGTATATCTCTACGTGGCAGTGGCTTACCAAGTAAAATTCCCAGCATCTGCCTCCTGCGGCTCCATGGCTTCTTCTTAATTCTGCCTCCTTTCTCCCAGCGTGTCATCTAGTTTTCCCTACCTACCTAAGTTCTGCCCTATCAATAGGCCAAGGCAGTCTCTTTATTCATTAACCAATGAAAGCAACATATAGACAGAAGGACCTCCCACACCAAAGATGTGTTACATTTATGTTAAAGAACATTACTTCAACTGTGTAAAGGTGTGTTACTTTTACTTATGCTACATTTGTTTAATGATGTAAAGATGTGCTGCATCTGTTGCACCTTGCTTGTCTAAGGCACATAATTGGTCTGATATAAAGCTGAACGGCCAATAACTAGGCAGAGAGAATCAATAGAAGGAGAACTCTAGACTCGAGAGGAACAAGAAAATAAGAAAAGAGAAAGAGGGACACACCTGGGGCAAGAAGCCAGGCACCTGCCAGTCAACAGACCTGAGAAGCCGTGAAAGTAAGATACACAGAAGAAAAGAAATGTAAAAACCCCCAAGGCAAAAGGTACCTAAAGAAAAATGGAGTAAAAGAGCTAGTCAGAAATGAGCCTAAGCAAGCCAAGCGGTCATACTAATAAGTCTCTGGGTCATGATTTGGATATGGGTGGCTACCTGGCACACCATGAGCATGAGAGTGATGGCTCCGCCACACGCCTGAGGGGGGCAGTCCAGTGGTTCAGAGTGACCGATTCAGCTACCACCCAGGCCCACATCCTGGGCATTTGGGTGGCCCACTGTAACATCTACCCCATCTATAAGGTACCGGTCGGGCAGAACAATAACCACAGGATCTCCGTGACTTGACGGTCACAGGGTAGCCAAGAGGAGGTTCGAGGACAGTCCAGCGATTTGACCAGATCAATAACTCCCTGCAATAAACATTTGCAAGTAAAACTGAAAGGACAGAAGGGTGGACTGTGTGCCACACCATGGTCCCCAACGCCACTAAGATAAATGAAGAGGTGTTGGAGAAGAGGGGAAGACAGTGGGGGGGGGGCGGGGAGTGCTTGTTTAGTTGGTTGGTTTAGTTTTATTTATTTTTTTAATTTTCTTTTCCGAAGGGATGTTACAAGGGTGAAGGGGAATATGGAGGGCCTGGGAAATGAACAGAATTGGGGTGCATGATGTGAAATTCCCCCAAAAATCAATAAAGAAATTATGTTCAAAAACAACAACCTATCGTATTGTAATGCACAGTACTTTATTTTTTTAATTGAAAATAATTTTTTCATACAGTATATTCTGAACTTCTAATCATGGCTTTCCCTCCATAATGTCCTCCAAGATCATCTCCATCTCCTGACCCATCCAACTCCATGCCTTCTTTTTCTCTCTCTTTATAGAACAAAAAGGCAAATTTTAAAAAGATAAAATAATCAAAACAGACAAACAAGAAAAAACAAACAAGCAATGAAAAGGCATAAGAAATATATACATATGCAAGCACATACCACGTACACACAAAACCAATAGCACAAAATTGAAAAAGATAATAAATAACTAAAAGACAAGTAAGAAAAAAATGCCCAAACAAGCATTAAGAGACAAAACATCTCAAAAAAGGCCACTGAGCTTGTTTTGTGTTGGTCATTTACTGCTGGGCAAGCTCATCGACTCCCAGGAATGGGAGGGTACTACTCATGTCTGGTGCTGCTAGAGAGGCTCCAGAGTAGGAAGGCATTAAAAAGTCCTCAGAATTGGTCTCTGTGGTGGTTTGGGTAAGAATGGCCCCCAGAGGCTCATATATTTGAATGTTTAGTCATCAAGAAGTGACACTATTTGAAAGGATTAGAAGGATTAAGAGGTGTGGCCTTGTTGGAGAAAGTATGCCACTAGGGGTAAGTTTTGAGGTTCAAAAGCCCATACCAAGCCCAGAGTCTCTTGCTATGCCTACAGGTTAAGATGTAGCTGTCAGCTACTGCTCCAGCATCTTCCTGTGTGCTGCCATACTTCCTGCCATGGTGATAATGGACTAAACCTTCAAAACTCTAAGCAAGTCCCAATTAAATGTCTTCTCTTATAATAGTTGCCCTGGTCATGATGCCTCTTCACACAAATAGAACATTAACCAATTCAGGTTCCATAATTTATAATAAAAAACATCCTAGGCAAAATTTGTTTGCAGTAGTTTACATTTTTAATTTATAGGTTCTAAGAAAAATATATATATATTTATATTATATAATATATATATATAGATCAGTGGTTCTCAACCTTCCTAATGTTGCAGCCCCTTACTTAATATAGTTCCTCATGTTGTGGTGACCTCCAACCAAACACTTACTTTCATTGCTATTTCATAACTATAACTTTACTACTGTTGTGAATCATAATACAAATATCTGTGTTTTCCAGTAGTCTGGGGCAACCTCTGTGAAGGGGTTGTTGGACACCCCCAAAGGGGTCATGACCCACAGTTTGAGAACCGCTGATAAATAGTCTCACACTGGTTTTCAAAGTAGGCTTCTCATTACACTGCCATTAAGATCAATGTAAACATTTTCTCTGAGTGGATCATTTGTTATTTTGGGGGAGTTTATGACAGTGTTTGACTGATACCTTCTTGGGCCTTCATTGTTTCTCTTTCAAAAAAAAAGTGAGGAAAGGAGAACAAGGGAAGGAAGGGACCACCTCGGGCCTTGGACTTCATTGGCAAGGTGAAACAAAATTTCTTCAAATAAGATGCACAATAAATGGGGGAAGGGGGTATTCTGACTGTTTTGGTAGAATTCAAAGACTTGAAGTCATGAGTCGAAAATGGTTGTTCCTTGTAATATTCCACCTTTGTAGGTGTCAATAGAAAAGAATGGGAATGCCCAGAAGATGAGATGCATAGTATATATTTATCAAGATGAATTTGTTCAGATTTGTACAAAGTCATTATAGACATGTATTCAGACACAAGAATAATACAAATCACGGCTTACACTAAGCAGACCTTGGTACCTCTTTATTGCTACAATATTCAAAGTCCACCTATACTTTGTTGACAATAAACAAAGTTCTCAGAAAAGTTACATATAGCACAGTATTTGTTTCAACATAGCTTCACACCCCCTCACCACTTTATTTAAAGTAACATTTTCTGCTTTTAAGATGTAAATACAGGAAGCTGTGGCTCAGTTGGTGGAGGGCTAGCTTATCATGCACTAGGCCTTGAGTTCCACCCCCAGCATCACACAAACTGGAAATGTACACCTGCAACCCCAGTGTTCAGGAGGAGGGGACATGAGGACCAGAAGCTCAAGGACCGAGCCTCCTCCCTGGCTATGGAATAAATGCAAACCAGCCTGACCCACAGGAGACACTCTTAAAAAGATTAAATTCACATTTTCCCATAGAAACATTAAAAGATGATTGTTGAGAGAAATATTCTCTTTCAGATCAAGCAACCAGTGATTTTTGTCAATGCAGGTCTCTTTAAAATTTGGAAGCTTCTTCTATGGCAAAAAAGGACAAAAGAAAGAAAAAAGAAGCCACGCACCCTAAAGTCCTTGCAACAAACAAACACTTCTATCTTGGACTGAGAGTTGGGTGGGGAATGCGTTTCATAGGCTTGCAAACCCTCTGTCCAGCCTTGAAAGGACCCAGGGAGAAGAAAATCTCTAAACCCCTAGAGCCTTAAAAAAGAATCCAAAGATCCATATAGCTCGACCTGGATTTGAACTTTTCCTTAAAGAAAGCTTTGATCTAAGAACCTTTTACCATCTACAGAGGCATGGTGTTGTCTTGTCTGTTTTTAAAATGGAAGTGCTTGGATTCTTGATATTTGTCTCGAATTCTTAGGAATTTTGAGAAGCTCCTTTGTAGTGCTTCGCTTCCTATCTAAACACGTTTGGTATTTTAAAACCAGTTGATACTTTCAATATTCTACCTAGAAACGTCTTTAACCAAATGCAGACCTGCATCAAACAGAGTTTCTGCACTCCACATTTTAACAGGCAACAATGTTGCCAAACTTAACTAGGTGACCAGGATTCCTTTTTCCCCAGCCTCTGTTAATTTCTTCACAGCAAGCCTTCAAGAGTTGCCAAAATTACTCCCAAACAACCTGATAGTGTTTAGCTATACTTTTATAGCATACCCAGTATCTATATTACTTTGATGATTTATGATTATTCTTTGAGAGGAAAAGTACAAAATGAGTAGAAAGGAGATAAGAGTGGATGTGTGGAAGAAATACATCAGAGGCCAGCAATGTCCTAAGGAGACAGAGGAACTCAGGGACATTTCTAAAAGTCTTAGTATGGAATTAGAGTCAAAAGGGAGGAGCCACCAATACAACTGAAACACACATTTAGGGTGATTGCCCCAGGAGCCCAGGAGTTCTGGACTCACCCACAAACCTCTCTCCACTACAAAAATGACCCACAGGCCTTCCTGAATGGATGTCACTAAACATCTTTTTCTGAGAATGCATGCACCAAATCTACTTACACTATGGTCTGGCTTCTTGTGTAGCTCTGTCTCTAGTGAGACACGGGAAAAGATGGTACCCTACATCCTCGTTTGTGTGAGGGGTGTGTTTATGTTTGTGTTTGCTTAGGACTGGAGAGTGAAGAGGAGGGGGAGTGGGGGGAGGGAGAAGGAAATGGGAGGATGGGAGGAGGTGGAAATTTTTAATTAATTAGTTAATTAAAAATAAATCAATAAATCCCCCAGAGATACATTACAGAGTGCTTTACTAATTTTAAATTTTTAAATGCTAATTAAAAAGGAAAAACAGATATACAGAGACTTTGAAAATAGAAAAAAAAACCTGCTGAATTGAATCATCCTATATATTTTAAAGATGTGTTAATTTCAATAGAAACCAGGATATGTGTTACATTAGAGAAGAGGTTTTGCTTTTGTTTCCACAGGAAAAGAAGGGCTATGAATACTATCAAGATTGACAAAGTTTAGATTCAGACAGGAGAGCCTTCTATAAGACGAACAAATGCCTTTCACTTGATCAGGTATGAAAAATAAATAAATAATTTTTATTACTAAAAGATATGCTTTTTCTGTTGCCACAAAACGTTTTGTCTTAACAAAGATATAATCTGACAGAAAAGGAACTCCCCAAAGTTAGAGTTGGTCAGGGTATTGATTTTGTCTTTCCAGGAGAATGAAAGCATCCAACTAAGGAATCTAAAGATCCCTGGACAAACAAGCCATCTGAAGAAAGATGAACTATTTCGAGAAAAATGTCCCAAGAAAAAGAGTAAAATTTGCCTAATGGTATAGTACATTTTCAATAGTATAAAATTTCATAAAATTTTGCAAATAGTTGTTTCTGCTGCTCTTTACAAACAAAAAAGATAAATGGTCTTTTGTGATCCCAATTAAATTAAAAACTCAAAGCTGGCTTTGGAACTGGAGTGTGACTCTCTCCCTCTCTAAACCCAAACATGCCATTGAAAATCCAAAATCTTTATCTCACATCAGAAGAGCCACCTGGTATGGGACCCAAAATTTGGGACTTCTATTGTCATTAATTGCTAAAGTATAAATATTAGCACTAAAATTATAATATTGTATACATATATAAAATATATCATATTTAAACTCTTCCTGTTTTAAACTCTTCCGGTCATAGAACTAATTCTAGAAGTATGCTTCATCTAGTTTCTTGTACACAATTTTGAATTTGAGTTTGAAGCAGGTAACTAACTAGGAATTAAGTTTGTGCACCTGGGATATACTTAATAGATTGTGGCCCTTTAACTTCTCTGAGATCTGCTGCATGTGACATTTACAATGTTTAAGTTTTCTGCAGTGAACCATAACCATTACTAACAGTGACCTTTGAAGTCTCTAAAAAGACGATGGGGCCCCACAACGATGATTCCACCTGGATTGTGGTAATGCTATTAAGCTGACAAACACCACCGAAATATCAGTTTCTGACTGCAAAGTGCTCAGTCAGGACAACTTCAAAGCTGCTCTAACTGGGAGGGTCCAACCTTACAAACTACTCTAGCCAGGACTTCAGAAAAGCATGGCATTTTCCCATTATACAGTCACTGGACAACCAATGTTACAGCTAGTTTTCCCAGGACTTGACCATTATCTCAATTTTCTCAGGCCCCCTAAATATACTGTCACCCCAGACAAGAGGAAAGAAATTAAAGAACACAACACTCACAGTCCCAAGAAGTAGGGTGGGTGGTTTTTGGTCATTTGGTGGGTTATGGATGCTTGTCATCATTTGATGGGGGGGGGGCTGTTTGCAAATTGCTATTTGCCATGGTAAGAGGAAAAACTAAAGAAGGGAATTTAGATTCAAGGATCTCTTTCTGAAAAGAAATAGATAAAGGAATGGTAGGATGAAAGGGTAGATTATTGAAACTACCTTAAACTAAAAAGCAACTATTAATCTCAAATATTTTACACTAGTATGTATTTTTGTATACTGATGCAAATTTAAGGTTAATTTGTTATATTGTATATGTTTCTACTCTTGTTTAAGGAATTTTTGTATATTGATAAAAATTTAAAGTTATTTTGTTACATCATACTGTATATATGTTTCTACTCATGTTTAAGGTATTGTACCTATGTAACTCATTTAAAAATGGAAGGTAAAGTTCTCGTCACTGAAAGCTAGAAGTCATTTAGGATAATTAAGAAACACAGGTAAGTAATTAGTTATCTATTACAATCAAACTTGTAGTTATGTTAAGTATGTCTTCAAGATCACACAGAAATATTTCAGATAGATAATGGTCTTCAAACACTTCAAATACCTACAGAATATGGCATTTAAAATATTTTATTAACATAGGGCTTTTCATGACAGTAAGACACATCTACTCCTGGCAGCAACAATCTACATCATAAAAGAATGATGAGTGTCAAAGAACCGCCATATGGAGTTAGTTTTCAATGTATCAAAGCTTGCCATCTGGGCAAGAAACTGTCTTTGTCTCTACTGACGACAGTATACTGTCCAAACTGGACAGGCAGTACACAAAGGAAAGCAACTGCTGAACTTTGCCAAGATAAGATAGGACGATCCCCAAAATTCCTTCTTCATAGAAAATTCTACCAGGTCCTAAGCTTAGATGCTAGAGACAGTAGCCTCAATTTTGCAGAGGAAGCTTGGGGGATTGTCCAGGCCACCAGTTGTCTCTGTCACTTTTATAGTTCTGGAATGTGTTTTCTCTGTACTTTCTGCTTATTCAGCTAATATTATGTATGTTTCTGGGATCTTTGATGGATCTGAAGACTAAATAGTTATAGTTGCAGTTTTCCTTCGTTATGATAGAAGTAAATTAGATACAAAGCTTTGGACTCATCAAGAGAGGATAGACAATAGAGTAATTTCTCCAAATTTGCCAAATGCAAAGGGACTGGATATTGTAAATATAATTCTTACTTGATAACTGTTCTTAATGCATATAATTTTACTGTGTTAAAGTTAAAATCTTTCTTTTTTAGACAAAATGAGGAAATGTTGTGGAATATTTGTTTAACTAGGCAAAAGTGTATTACATTTGTTTATGGCGCATTTGTTTAACTATGTAAAGATATGTTGCATTTGCATTAATTAAATAAAATTAACCTGAGCTCATAGAGAAGGGGTTAGCAACTAGTTGACAGGGAGTAGCAGGGAGGAGTGTAGAGTGGTTTTTTAGTTGGGGCTGTGTAAGGAAAGAGGTTTCCAGAACACCAGGTAAGAAAGAAAGTTAGCCGGTTGCTACTCTAACTCTCTGAGCTTGCAGGTTTTCACTCTAGCCTTCGAATGTCAAGTTTTATTAGAGCAATAGAGATTTAGGTAAATCTGTCTTTAGTGGCTGAAACAGAGCCACTAAAGGATTCTGTCTGGAGGAACAGAATCCCCTTAGGCTATGGCCTAAGCAGTAGTTAAAAGCTCAGCTGCTATGAGAAAGATAAAACAGCAAGAAAAGTCACTATTTTACTTCCTTTTCACTTCATGCTAACAGTATTTGCTTATGTATAGAATTGAAGCTCACAATGAAATTCCATCACATTTTTAAAATATTTGTTTTCTTGTATAGAATTGAGTAAGTAGATATTCAGTGTTATTGATTCCTCCTTTATCTTCCCTGGGACAGAATGCCTGCCATAAGCAATTAAAGGAGGAAGGTTTTATTTTGGCTCATGGTTTCATGGTCTCCACATTCTCGGGCCGAGCATCATGGTGGAAGAAATACCGGGCAGCAGAGGTTCTTACCTCATGGCAGACAGGAAGCAGGGAGGGGGAAGGGGGGAGGAGAGGTGCATACTGGAAAAGACAAAATGTAGCCTTAAGGACAAACTCTTTAATTGCCAAATACCTCCAAGCACCCCTACTTCCTGCCTCTCCACCTCGTAATAATGCCTTCTTATTAGAAGTCCATCACAGGGTGTAGTGAGGAGCTGTGGGCAGGCCTGCTTTCATCCCGCCCGGCTCCCGCATGGCTAGCTTAGCCCCGAAAATAACAACACACAAATTGTATTCATTTAAACACTGCCTGGCCCATTATCTCTAGAGAGTTAGTTACTGGCTAACTCTCACATCTTGATTAACCCATTTCTAATAATCTGTGTAGCACCACGAGGTGGTGGCTTACCGGAAAAGATTCAGCATGTCTGACCTGGTGGCTGGCTCCATGGCATCTGCCTCACTTCCCTTCTTCCCACCATTCTGTTCTGTTTACTCCGCCTACTTAATTTTCTGTCCTATCAGAGGGCCAAGGCAGTCTCTTTATTAACCAATGAAAGTAACACAATAGACAGATGACCTTCCTCCATCAACAGGGTTGATCCACAGATCAACTCCAAATCCTCAGAGTCTAACTATCTGGAAACACCTGGACATACCCAGAGAAGCTCTTTGCTAATCTTTTGGGTGTTAATTCACCACAACTTCACTCCCACCAGAATAAAAACAGTAGTTTCTTTTTTACCGGCTTCTGATAGAATATGTTGACCATTTAGTCAAAGGCAATAATCACAGAAGCACAGCCTGTGTCTGTGACATTACGGCCAGTAGAGTTCACAGATCACTTCACACTACAATTATGACAAATGTCTTAAAAAAATTAGTTAGCTGTCAGATATTTTATCATTTACAGCTGTTATAATATTATAAAAATTGTATTATTTAGACAACTACAGAACCAATTTCTTTTATTATCCAAAGTGTTCTTCTTTAGACATTTCAAAGGAGTATTCTGAGAAGAGATCTCTATTGGTCCCTATACTTCCAAAGACATCCATAGCCCAAAACTGGGTTTTATTTTATTTTTTTATTGATTTTTATTGAGCTCTACATTTTTCGCTGCTCCCTCCCTGCCTCTCCCCTCCTCCCTCCAACCCTCCCCCAAGGTCCCCATGCTCCAAGTTTACTCAGGAGAGCTTGTCTTTTTCTACTTTCTACTTCCCATGTAGATTAGATCTACGTAAGTCTCTCCTAGTGTCCTCATTGTTGTCTAGGTTCTCTGATATTGTGGTTTGTAGGCTGGTTTTCTTTGCTTTTTTTTAAAAACCACCTATGAGTGAGTACATGTGATAATTGTCTTTCTGTGTCTGGGTTACCTCACTCAAAATAATGTTTTCTAGCTTTATCCATTTTCCTGTAAAATTCAAGATGTCATTTTTTCTGCTATACAGTACTCTATTGTGTAAATGTACCACATTTTCTTTATCCATTCTGTGGTCGAGGGGCATTTTGGTTGTTTCTAGATTCTGGCGATGACAAACAAAGCTGCTGTGAACATGGTTGAGTACATGTCCTTGTGGCACGATTGAGCATCCTTTGGATATATACCAAAAAGTGGTATTGCTGGGTCTTGAGGAAGGTTGTTTCCTAATTTTCTGAGAATTCGCCACACTGACATCCAAAGTGGTTGTACCAGCTTGCATTCCCACCAGCAATGCAGAAGTGTTCCCTTTCCCCAGATTCCCTCTATTTCCCTTATTCCCTCTCCAGAATAAGTTGTCGTCAGTGTTTTTGATCCTCACCATTTTTACAGGTGTAAGATGGAATCTAAGAGTTGTTTTGATTTGCATTTCTCTGATGACTAAGGATGTTGAACATTTCCTTAAGTGTCTTTCAGCCATTTTATATTCCTCTGTTGAGTTCTCTGTTTAGGTCTGTACTCCATTTTTTTTATTGGATTATGTGATCTTTTGGTGACCAGTTTCTTGAAGTCTTTGTATATTTTGGAGATCAGACCTCTGTCTGATGCGGGGTTAGTGAAGATCTTTTCCCATTCTGTAGGCTGTCCCAAAACTGGGCTTTTAATGACTGCATCAGCTTTCCAGTAAAACCTCTGCAGCTGCTATACCTCTTGGCATTGCCCTCCCTGGCAGTTTTCATTCCCATCATTTTCCATTTCTGACAAGACGAGAGAGAACTAGAAGACTCCAGTTAGACATGCACATGTCCACATCTCTGTGATGGGAAGAACCAAAGCTTCCTGCCTTGGTTTCTTATTTCCTGCCAGCTTCTGATCCAAAGGGACTGGCTCTCTTTTTTGAACATCTATTAATCTGCTTCTTCGAGGACTATAATTTTGGTGAGGAAAAGACCATTATGTACACAGTGTGCTATCTTAAAACTGGAATGCATGTATTAAATTGGAATTTTGGGAAAGGTTAGTGCCATGTTCTTTCCACTTCCTATTAAATGCCCCCCCACTCTTCTTGTACCAATGTACCAAAGGGTGTTCTACAAATGGGAAAAATAAAAGCTCTATAGGCTAAGCATTTATTCAAAGCCTTTCAGCTGGTGCACAGCAGGGCTGAGACTAGAAGGCTGATGTGTTTCTTCTGTAAGGCTTTTCTCTTTCGGCTCTCTTAGGACGCATCTCCTTCCTTTCCAGGAGCTAATGGTCCTGGTGGTATACTCTTCAGTCTAGAGGGAAAAACACGTCGTGTTAATCATTTTGCTATTACACAGATGCGTCTCTCTGGAGCTCTTCAATCTATTGGCCAACAGGCCTCTTTAAACTCTTGATGTGTAGTAAGGATTGGCCAAGCTCCAGCAATATAGTATTGAACAAGACCCGGTCTCTACCCATGTGAAACATCATCAATCTTCTAATAGAGTGAGCGCCAGAGAAATAGTTAGTTCCCACCCCTGTCTTTTGGTGACTTTCTCTTCACCTTCCAAGGTCCAACTCAAATAGAACTTTTTTATGAAGCCTTTCTGAACAGAATTAGGCACTTTCTGCTGTGGGTTTCATATCATAGGAACCACATCTCTAATACCATGTGACAGCAGTCTTCTTACTTCTGTATTTTGGAAAACAGATTCCTGCCACCCCCTCCCCACATATCTACCCATGGATAGTATGGGAAGTCCTTCTGTCTACATTTTCCTTTTATTGGTTAATGAATAAAGCTTTTTTGGCCAGTGGTTTAGCAGAAAAAAAGCTAGGTGGGAAACTAAACTGAATGCTGAAAGAAAGAAGGCAGAGTCAGGGACAAGTCAAGTAGCCGCCAGGGAAAGATGCCTGGACTAAAGCCCAACAAAACTTTACCGGTAGGCCATGACCTTGTGGTGATGCACAGATAAATGGATAAATGTTAGTTTAGGATATTAGAGTTTGGCAGAAATACGCTTAAGCTATTAACTAAGCAGTGATTTAAGTAATCTAGTTTTTGAGTGATTATTAAGGGACTAGGCTGGACAGAAGCCTCTGCCTACACATGGTCAGGAGCAAGCATTCATCTTGCTGTATTCTATAGAGCTGTGCACAATGTCTGGCAAGCAATACTTGAATGAATAGAACTGAGAGGTTTTTTTTTAAAAAAAAAAGCAGAAACTCTTCTGTGTTTCCTTGTTCTACTATATATCTGTCTCTGTTTCAAAGTTGTAAATAGGGGCCAGGGCAATGTCTTATTGGTTAAAAATACTTGTAGTGCAACCCCTAACAGCCCTAGAACCTTTGAAAAAGTCCAAATATAATGGCTTGCATCTGTAATCTCAGCACCCCTGCAGTGAGATGGGATGCAGAGGCAGAAGAAGTAGATTGCAGGTCATTGGCCAGCTAGCCCAGAGTAAAGCTGCAGAAACCAGAAAGACCCTGCCTCAACAAGATGGAAAGCAAGAACCAACTCCTGAAAGTTGCCCTCTGACCTCCACACACACACATATGAACACAATTTAATTTAATGACATTCACTATTGGTAATTTTAAATGATTGATAAAAATCCATTTTTTATTGTTTGGACGAGTGGTCAATTAGTGACCAATATAAATGGAAACAAACATATAGCATTTGGTAGCTGTTTTTAATTATGAAATTTAAGTCTGTCCAGGAATGTATTTTTGAAAATCTACCCTTTTTTGTTCCAGTTTATCTAACTTGACACTCTCTGCAACCTAAACCCACTAAAATCTACACCTCCAAATTTGTTTAACTCTGCATGACCTCTGACAACAGAACTTGAATCCCCAAAGAATCTCCATTTCACAATTTGGCTAACTCTAACTCTTTAACCTTCAGAAAATTCTTGTTGAATTGTTGTTGACAAGCCAGATATCTATGGTTTAAGAAAAAGAAATCAAAATTAGTTCCATATTTATGTGGCAGGGGAAAGGGCTGTGGTCCCTGGGAAAGGGTAGCCATTTTCTTCTGCCCGGATCTTCAGGCTGGACTCTCTTTCATAAGTGATAACCTTGGGAAATCTCAGGCTGCTGGGACAGATGGTCCTCACGACGTGGAACTTGAACTCTGTCAAAAATGGCCCAAGGGTTACTTTAAAGGTTGGAGTAGACATAGTGTCCTCGTATGTCTTAAGGTCAGACCTTCAAGTGATTTTTGCAAGGTATAGAAGCTTGAAGCCGATCACTCCTTGGCTTGAAGACAGCGACCTACATGGACCAGGTTTTCTGCTTTTACTGAGCCGCATGCTTCTGGCATGGAAGTTGGACAGATGCATTTCCAGAGAGCTAAACTTGTCTATATAAGAATATTTAAAAATCATCTTTATTGCAATCAGAGCTGCACCTCTGCAGCTTCCTAAGCCTTGAGAAATGTTTAAAGTGTGTGTGTGTGTGTGTGTGTGTGTGTGTGTGTGTGTGTGTATGTGTAGTCTCCTGCATGCTATTTATTTTCCTAGAAATGCTTGGGCTTCCTGTTTAAACAACTTCTCAGGAGATAGTTCAGAAGTGAATGCTCTCTGACGATAGAAAACCACAGTTCCGATTTCAAGCTCTCACTGGATAAAATGCCATAAAAACAAACGAGACTGGGCTAGGTCTGGAGCAGAAGGACTGGCCTGCTATCCACTCACAGGTAGAGGTACTCAGCCTCGGACTTTGGGAGTGTAGGATATTTGGCTTTTATGTGATCTCACAGAAACTACAGGGCTATGAACAGGGAAGAACTAGCTCTTCCTACAGAGTGTGGGCAGGAAATGAAACTAGAGAAACTCAAGTAAGACGTGAAGTCTTCTAATGGGGACTTTTAGAGGAATAAAACACTATGGAGGCCAGCCCCAAAGGGAGAAAGTAAGCAGACCTTGCCAGATAGCCCAGCATCAGGAACTAGACAGAGAGGCACCTCCCAAGGTCCCAAGACACACAGTGTGCTTTCGGAGGGCTGGGAGCACTCAGAATCAGTCATTTTTAAAGAGGTCAGCTTTAAAACAGACAGAACCTCCATTAGGAATATCTAGCGAAGGACAGACAAGCCTTCCCTTACCCACTAAGGCCAGCACAGCTGAGATGTCATCATCTGGGGGTGGCAGAGGAAGGAGACAAGAGTGAGAGAGCTACAGTGAGAACCTGGAGGCACAAGTGGACAGGGAAGCACGGCTGCGTGGAACATACGAGCCGCCATGGGGTGTGATCGCATACCTGCACAGAGAGCCCCATAAAAGCCAGTCCTGTCATCAGAGGGGGTGAAAGCTTAAAGCACAGTAACGCAGACATGACAAGGCAAACCTGACCTCATCTTTAATCACAGTGTAGTGGAGGCCGGGAAAACTGGCTCTGCGTACCCACAACGTACCATAAAATACAGTCTCTGTACCTGAGCAGCCATTTAATGTACCGCCTGAGCAATCTAACAAATCCTAAAAGGATTCCATCTTAATTTATGGAAAGTACATTCGTAACTTCATGGACGTCACTCTCTGACCTATATTTTATTAAAAGCATACCAATCCCCACGAGGTACCAAGCAATGTAGCAGAATCCAGAGCAGATTTAGTGTAGACTTTTCAGATTCGAGGCATAACAATGATCATACGTTTAATCTCCTCATATTAGTGGTGAAAATGGTAGCACTTTCATGAGGACCCCTTTTCCTGTAGGTATTCTGGGGACCCCCTTGTGAGAATAGTATCCAATTAGGTGGTCCCTTTGACTTTCACTTCAAACTAAGTTCTGTATCCATGCATCCACCACTACTGAATGATGCCTGACAGTGCTGTTGAAACTTGGTCTCTTCTTTCTGATGGTGCTGCCATATCAGCTCACTGTGTGGAAGAAATAGCATCACGAGAGACCTGTCTTTCAATGTCATGCCTAGTAGAGAATGCCCTTCACGACATCTCACTGTCTGTAGCATTTAGTGCTAGTCCTATGACCCGCCTGTGGGCATTCTCCTTCAGACACCATCAAACCTCACACTAACTAGTTCAGGTGCTGGCTCTTCCCAGACTGCCAAATCAGAGACCAGCCTCCTTTTCGTTTTACCCATAAAAATACGAAGGCGTTATTTTCATTCCTCTCTCGGACAGCAGGCCCTTTCATGCCCTCAGCTAAAGAGGCTTCTTAGGTGGTATCCAGGGCCACCATTCTCCTGGCAGCATTTCTTCGTTGGCCTTTACATGCCAAAAGTTCTCCCTTGCAAGTGAAAATTAGAGAGCCTGGGATAAGACCCCAAACTTCAAATCCCAGGATTCCCACCTTTGTGCCTCAATAATTCTCCCCCCTAGACCCTCCTTAAGCACAGACAAAACGATAAATGGAGTTCCTCCCAAAACATTATGTTATCTAAGATTTAAAGACACTCCATCTGTGCCATTGAGTTCTCTGGTGCAACAAAGAAGACCATGGAGTTAAAATGCAAGCATACCATAAAACACATGGCATATATAGGTAAAGACAAAAGTGTCTGGCTTGGGGATCCGGAAAAATGGACCAGGATGGGTTCTAAGACTTCAAAATTAATCTAGAAAACATACAAGGAATTAACCTGGTGAACGCAGGATTATTAAGACACTCCGGGCAGTCATTCATTTCTTGCTCATTCAGCAAGTATCTACTGGATATGCACAGTGTGATTGACCCTATTCTAGCTGTGGGAGAAAGGAAAAGGTGCAAGGCAAGGGACCCTCTTGCTCTCTGGGAGGCAGACAGACAGTGGAGAGTGGAGAAAGCACAACGCCTTGTCTGTGCCTCTCCCAATCAGTCTTCTCCTGGTGATTCTGACGATAACCATATCCGCGGTTCACTAGACTTAAAACTCTTTTACTAGAAAAGGCTGGAGAAATAAACACTTTAATTGGAGACCCACAAATTCCAATTCACTGTGGCAATTCTTCACTGTGTAAATGCTTCAGGAACAAAGTGGAAATTGCACCTCGGGTGGTGCTGAAAACTAATGGCTGAGTTAAGGGATGAACACAAGTTGTATTAGGGAAAGGAATGAGGGGTAGGTAGCAGAAGGAACTTCTTGTATAGGGTAGACACAAGTGTAGAAAGCCTGAGACTCTCCCACCGTCATTTGAGTTGGAGGATGACGACCACTGCAGGCCATCTAGCCTGGTGTTACATATTAGTCCAATAAAATAGCCAGGAAGGACCGGGGAGGTATTGCAGTGGTGGAGAATCTGACTAGCAAACACAAGGCCATGATTTCAATTCCCATCAACACACACACACACACACACATACACACACAGAGAGAGAGAGACAGAGAGAGAGAGAGAGACAGAGAGAGAGAGAGACAGAGAGACAGAGACGAGACAGAGACAGAGAGAGAAAGAGAGACAGAGATAGACAGACAGAGAAAGAGAGGGACAGAGATGGACAGAGAGACAGAGGGAGCGATGGAGGTTAAGGAGGGATGGAGAGAAGGAGGTGAAGGGAAGGACAGAGGGATAGACAGACAGACAGATGAGAGCTATACCAGAAAGCCCATTGAGGGCAATACCAAGTAAATAAATTCATAATACTCTATAAGTCATCCAATTATTTGATCAGAATAAAATCAATGCACATCAAAGCTAAAAATTCAAATAGCAGAGGAATCATGCAAAGTAGAAGTTAAGATTTCTTTTAATCCAGAAATAAATCCTCATTTTTATGCATACTATCAGTTGGTTTCGAGTGTATTTACATTTTCCCCCAGATTAAACTTACAATGCCACTTTAGACTTGCTATTTTTAATTTGGCTTTTCTTGGCTAGCTTTTGGTTCTTATGTAGAATTCTATATTCTTTTTTTCAGTGCTTTTTGTTTTATCTTAATCATGTTTCATTACTCATACACTATAAAAATACATCTTCAATGTAAAAGAAAAAGTTGGCGAACAATATGTAATTCAGGAGTCAGCCTTTACCTCTCCCTCCCCTCTCATAATACTTATTTTCCCATAAGTAATCATGGCTGACTTTTAAAATATGCCTTCCTACTTTTTCTCCACTCATTTTTCCCGTTTTCTCCCTCCCTATGCACCCTCTCCATGACTTTGGATTTTCTGCTTTCATAAATGAAGTGATGAACAATGTTGAATTTTAGTCCTTATCAAATTTCAAAGCCTAAAGAACAGTCAAGAGGTCCTGCACTCTGTCGATCACTCCAGCCCTTTCCCTGCAAGGCCGTCCCTGCCCTCTGGCTTGTATTGCTTGTATTGTAGCCACCGAAAACATATCATAACCATTGGGAGTTGAGCCACCCAAAAGAACGAGGTGCATTAGTAAACATATCAGACCCTTGGCTCTCTCTTCTCGAAGCTTTAGCATTATAAAGTCAAGCCAAGAAGGGGGAAAAAAAAGGTGGAAAAGGATGTGAGGGAGAAATATGGATGTTTTATTTTTTGGCTCGAGGATACTAAAGCCATTGGTTTTAGATAGGACCCAGGCTGCTTTGCCTCTTGCAGTCAGGGAGACGGCTTGAAGCATGTAAGATCTTGGATAAAATTCAGCAAATAAGGTCAGTGATTGGAAGAGAAACGTGTAAGAAGAGCCAAGTGGGAGTTAACTCAAAGGCATTTTGAAAGTTTGCTTTAGTGAGTTAGAATTGCAGTCTCGATCCCATATTTCTCAACAAATAGCCTATGGGAACTTTGTAAAGCCCCAGAGCCCTTAGCTAACATTATTTAAGGCAATTTTATGTGTCTATTTGTACAGATTATTTGCTAACTTTTGAGCAAGGAATGATCTCAAAATACCCTTGTGTCTACTGATATCCCAAGGTAAAGGAATGCCCTGGAAGGCTTCCCATTTTCCAAATGTAATATTTTCCAAAAATAAACGTCGGAGTAACTGCAAGGCTGATAGCACGTGAACATTTTAATTCACACAATAATATTCTGGGCTTTATGGAAGCTTGGCCTTTTTCCAAGAAGTTTGGAACTACAAGAGCTGACTGTTTCTTCTCTGTAGGGGGAAGAAGGAACACGTGAATCAGAATTGGTAAATTGGAGAGGAGGTCACAGACTGCATGGAGTTAAGGAAAGCAACGTGAAGCGCAATCTGCAGTGGGAAAAAAGCCAGTTATATGAAAGGGGAGGGCTGGTTACCATTAAAGGCTTCAAAATTAGGGCCTCAAAGGAGAAATGAGTGGATAAGTTAACAGCCCCTTGCTTCTCTCTCTCTTCCGGGGGATGGGGCTGGCATAATGAGGTCCAGGTGTAACTCTGCGATGCCAGGGATGCCCATGTCAGTCTTAGCAGAAGTCTCTGGATCCTTTAGCATCTGTAGCTCCCATGCTTACCTCTTCCAAGAAGTCTATGCAAATGGGCTTGATTGCCATCTTCAGATGACATCACACTGTGGCGGGGTCATCTTCGTGTCTTTGTCTGTTCCTTCGTGGTCTCTGAGATTCTTGAGGCCAGAATGGAAAATGCACACACTTTTTAATGCTGGATGTTGATTGAATGAGCCTCTCTGGTTAGAAGCGATCCCTCCTGTCTAAGAGTTCCCTTGATGCATTGCCCTTACCCCATTCTGTAGCCTTTTACACCTTCTATCTTGGACTATAATTTCTGTGCATGTTACATCCTCTATTAGACTCACAATTTTTCGGTAAGAGAGATGAGATAATGAATGTAAAGTATTGTTACCATCTCTACCAAACAAATGATGGTTATCATTATTTCTAAAAGGAAGTGCCTAGACAACCAGAAAAATATATTTTTCTAAAAGAAGACTTAAGAAAATCACACTGGAACAGAACATCTCTATTTTGCAAGTCACTTAAATGAACTATGTAACTACAAGAAACCCACTGCCTTAAAATAAGGGACTAATGGGATGGATTTAATCTTAGATCTATCTCCTTTCCCATTCCCCTTAGATAAAAAGCTGAGATTAGGGGTGGAGGGTATAAGTTGGTGGTGAACTGTTTATTCATGTTGTAGTCGGTTATGATGGCTGTATTGTGAAGGACAGACTCCTGATGATGACATTTTACTGGTTAAAAGAGGCAGCTCAGAAGAAAGAGAAAACAGGTTCTGGCATGTTTGGGGGTCATGGTAGTATCCCCTAAAATGAATCGGGAACAAGGCCTTTTAGAAACCCTCAGTGTCATGGAAGAAGCATCAGCACAGTGTGGGGCACGCAAAGCTTTCTGACTAAAGTTGATGTCACTGGGATATAATGGAGCATGCTAAGTGTAGATGAAGGACTCTGAGGACGTTCCCTTCCGTGTACAGCTCGGTGGTCCCTGTAGCCAGAATAGGATCTAAGTACCATCTTCTCAGAATTAAGAAATCAAAACATTTCTTCCATCCAAAGGGCTTTGACCAGCTTCTAAAACCCAGGTGAGACCAGTCAACTAATCAACGAAACCCAAGCCCAGAAGACCTTGAAGGCTCAGAGCAGGGACAAAAAGGGCAAAACAGAGAGAAGAAATGTCTGGCTCAGTTACCTCCCTGGTCTCCAGAAATGGCGTTTAGAAGTGGATTCAAAAAAGTGTTTTTATTTCTTAAGTAATGCAGGAGGAAGAGAAGCTGGGTTTCTGTTTAAGAGGCTTATGAAATAGTACACTTAACTGGAGAAATTAAGGAGATATAATCTGGGTGACAAGTGGTACTTAGGTTTTTGACTGTCATTGTACCCTCGGAGCATTTGGCACACAGCTAGCACACAGTGGGTGCAACTCAGCAAGTACACTTTCATAATCAAATCGAGAGTTCGGAACTTTCTGTGTAGAATCTGAATTAAAAAAAAAAAACATAAAAATCTCAATGTAAAACAGTGCCACAGGGCCACTCCCGCGACACTTGGACCCTGCCTGAGCACTGAAGCCACACACTGTACGTTTCTGAGTTCCCTTCAGCTCCAGACAAAGGCTGGATCTAGGACTCTCCGTCATTTCACCTGCTGCTCTTCCCGAAAGGTCCAGAAAGCTGATGGTGAATTCTCTGATACCAATCACTGACCAGATAACTGCTTGAGTGCAAAGGTCCCTTTGCAAAGAACTGAAGTCATTTACTCTCATTGCTTGCGGATAAGATATCAGGATAGTAATACAAGAAAAACAGTGTCTTGTGATTTTGTCTATGTATGACACGATTTTCATCTCAAAACAAAACAACCCCCCATGGTTTCTGAAGAAGCCTTCATACATATATAAAACTTTTTAAAACATATAAACAAGGGTGCCCTCTGCCTGCATCTTCTCCTCTGTAGTGACCAGTGTCATGTCTCAGGCTTATGTCAGTCCGTACTAGGTTTGAATCTCATTTTACAACTGTTCATTATGTGATCTTTGCCTCTTTGAGCTTCCAAAGTATGTTTCTACTGTATAAAAAGATAATAACCGGTTGTAGCCTATAAAATCAGGTGAGATGTCACAGGTTGGGCACAATGCTTAACAACACAAGCACCTAACAAACATCAGGTATTACCACTGATTTTCTTCATCACCAAATCCATCTTTGCCTGTTTACTCCTTACCTTAGATTGACATTTGAACCCACCGTGGTCCAGTCTGAGCTCCATATCCTTTGCTGTCCTTTACTTGTATTTCAAGGAGTTCCTTTCTTGGAGCCTGTAGGGCAGTAGGATGCTGAATACACTTGCGCAGAGCAAAATGATCGCAAAACTTAAGCAAATTAACATCCATCTCTTTGCTTTTTAATTGGGGGAAGGGGGAACTGTCCAGTTTTAGTGTGGTATGATAGAAACACAACTGGATACATTTAGAATGTTTAGTGTGATGATTTGATGTCTTCATCGTGTGAAATGGTCGCTACCGTCAAGACACAGTTCATGTATCTGTCACTTCATCTAGTTCTGTTCTACATGAATGGCGGGAACATTCGAGGATCAAGAGATTGCAATGCTGTGATGCAGTTTAGTTCTGGTCACGGTGATATTCACGAGCGCTCCAGAATTTACCAAGCTGGAAATGTAAAGTTTGAACCCCATGACGAAGATCTGCTTGTGTTTCTCACCACCCTCTCCCAGGTCCCAGAAGCCACCATCTTATTTGTCTCTCCATCTTCAGTGTTTTTATATTCTACACATAAATGAGATCATCCAATATTGGTCTTTTTCTGTCAGCACACCCACAAGATTCAGCCACATTGTCAAAAGTGACAGATTTCCTTTGGATGACCGGTTGATAGTCTACTGTGTATACAACATGGCTTCCTTATCTGTCCATCTAACAATGGGCACTGAAGGCTGTTCCCGTGTCTTCACTCCTGTGAACACAGCTGCAATGTACTTGGGGGTACAGGCATTTCTTTGATGTATTCATTTCATTTTAGAGGAACAAAATAAAATGGGAAATGTGATCCCTGGGTCACATGGTAACCCTATCTTTAATTTTGGACCCTATCCTGAATACCTCCATACTGTTTTGTTTTGTTTTGTTTTTTATAAAGTCTGTACCAATTTACATTCTCACCAGCAGCGTGTGGAGATTCTCTTTTCTCTACATCCTCAATCATCTCTTGTGTCTTTAAAAATTAGATTTATTTAGTATTCATTCATTTATTCATTTATGATTGGGTATGGAAGGGTGCACGATTGCCATAACCTATGTGTGCAAATCACAGGACAACTACACGGAACTGAGTCACTTCTCTCCCATTGACTTGGATCTCCGGGCTTTTACAGCAAACACTGTACCATTGAGCCCACCATTCTGGCTCTTTTGTCTTTTTAATAACCATTCAGAGAGGTATAATGTCTCACTGTGGCTTTGATTTGCATTTCTCTGGGGATTAGTGATACTGAACACCTTTTCTGGTTCTTGCGGGTGTATTCATCTGTCTCCTCTGGGAAAACGCATATCTTTATTCAAGTCCTTTGTCCAGTTTTAGATTGGATTATCTGATTTTTGCTATTGAGTTGCCTAAGTGCCTTGTATTTATTTTGGAATGTTATCCTCCTCGTCGGATATATGATTTGCAAATATTTTCTGCAGTTCCATGGGTCGCCCTTTCATTGTATTGGCTGGTCGGTCCCTTCACCTGTGGGGAAGTGTTTCGCTTTGCTGCAGTTCTACCTCTTCATTTCTGCTTTTGTTGCCTGTGTGCTTTGATGTCCTTTTAAAGATCTTCAGCAACCCTCTGATTGCCACGGCCAGTGAATACTTCCCATTGTTTCCCTTGCCTTCTATGAAGTATTTGATATCACCAAACACTGCTCCTTTGGGGTGTCTCTCCATCCTTTGTTGTATGATAACCCCTCTAATTCTCCCGCTGGGTCTCGATGCCTCTGCTGTCTGCTCAGCTTTCCTACCTGGCTGCTTCCTCCATTGGCCGCCCAGACATCTCATTGCTCCCAGACCCTTATCCTTCACCAGCTTTCGTCTTCCCTTTGTATATAACCACCTTGACTCAATTAACATTCATAATCTAGTTATTTTTTTTGACATGGTCTTGGCTGTATAGGTCTTGTTATGGTCTCAAACTTTAGATCCCCTTGCCTCAGATTCCCAAGTGCTATGATCGTAACTAATTATTCCTCTTCTACCTTATTCTCCAGACCTGTATTTTGTCCCCTCCATTTGAGTTTCCATTGTGACTTTAGAATGTATTCACCCCAAGCCAACATTCTTCTGCGATCCTTTCCCATCAGTACCGCTACTATTATGTCTTCATTCTTTCAAGAAAACCAAATGTTGGGCTCAAGAGGTGGCTCAGTGGGTAGGAGCCTTTGCTGACCTGAGCTCAGACCCCATCGCCTGTGTTAAAAAGTCTAATATATAAACCTGTGATTTCAGTTCTGTGAGGTGCAGAGAAGATTACTAGGGTGTTGGAGGAGGCCGCTTGTTGGTCCTGGCTGCCCAGAACCAAAATAACCATATAGAAATTATATTAATTGAAACACTGTTTGGCCCAGCTCTAGCTTCTTATTGACTAACTCTTATATTAATTTAACCCATTTCTATTAATCTGTATATCGCAACACGCCAGTGGCTTTCCGGTAAAGATTTGGCACGTCTGACTCTGGTGGCTCCATGGCATCTCTCTGCCTCTGTCTCCTTACTTGCAGCATTCAGTTCCATCTTCCCTACCTACCTAGGTTTTGCCCTGCTATAGGCCCAAAACCGTTCCTTTATTAACCAATGAAAGCAAGACATAGACAGAAGGACCTCCTACACCACTAGGGTTTTCTGTCCCCCAACCTAGCTTCAGATTCTGTGAGAGCCTGTCGTCCAAGGCATGCAACAGAAATCAGCAAAGCAGGACACTCAATGTCTTGCTATGACCTCTGAACATGCACCAACACACACGCACCTGCACACCCATGTGCATACAGCACACTCATGTGCACACATTCACACAACATCTCTTTCTTCCCTAGCACTCCCCTCACCTACCCTCACTAGTATCCATTCACGTCAGGAATTCTCTTGTTAAAACATCTCAAACACTTCCTTTTTCCTCCATTCTCAAAGACACAGTCTTGGTTTAGATATCACTGTGTCTTTCCCAAGCACCATAGCCACAACCTTTATATCCATCATTTGGTATTTTTAAAATAAAATTATAACCCCATGACTTACCTGGTAAAAATCCTTAACAGATTCTAGTCTCAAAGCTGGACAGAACCAGAGTGAGGCTGCTAGAAACGAGCATGAGTAATTAACTTTTAAAAAGTAGACCAGGCATGATGGTACACATCTGCAATCCCAGAACATGAAAGGCAGAGGCAGGAGGATTGCTGTAACTGTGAGGCCAGTCTGTTCTACCTAGAAAGCTTGAGGTCAGCCAGAGCTACAGGGCAAGACCCTGTTCCAATACTAACAAAAGCAGACCACATTTAAGGTCATCTCTACAGCAACCCTGTACTCACTGTATTCTGATATGCTTTCTTAAGTGAAAAAAAAATGCAATAGCGCTTGAGTTAGTACACTGAGAATCATGCTAGCCTGGGGCTGGCTCTGGAAACTTCATGGGAACAGCATTCACTGTGTATCATGCAGAATGACAGCTGGGAATTGCTGGCTCACGTCTCCACGACTGCCAGATTCCAAGATCTTGTGGCTCGTGTCCAGGGATACTCGGGTGGTCTGAGTTATGATAGATCCAATGCACATAACACCAAACAGAAACTATGATGCTCACTTAATAGCTGACATAAGATAAAACTGATAAAAAAACTAGAATATTAACATTACTATATTTCAAAGGATGCCTTTGTTCCCTGTTATTAAGGTGACAAGAATCCCACTCATAACATGACTCTGTGGTCCAGAAGAACACGATCTGCTATAGCGCTGTCTTGGTAAAAATGATTTTGGTAGTAGATATGAAATGGCAATCCTGTTTATCCATATCCATACAGAAGGCACAGTTTTGACTTTGGACATAGAAAGCAAGAGCAAGGAAAATTCGCCTTTTGAATCAAAGAAGAATTAGAATTGTTCACATTTGCTTCTCAGGCTCACTCATGCATATATGCATGTATACATGCATGTGTGTGCATGGACATGAGCATTCAATGGAACAGTCTCTCTGGGGGTTTTATTGTTTTTTATTCCAGTTACAGTCAAATCTTGTCTGCTCAGGAACTTCCTTATCTTTAAGGCAATTTCTCTTGTCTGCTTTCAGCCGTTATACATTGCCACGTGGGTTTCACTAATACACAGGTGGCATATTTCACAGGTTAACAACTTCTTAAAATTTTGTTTTTTTAAGACAGGGTTTTGATATGTAGCAAGCCCAGGCTAGCCTCGACGTGATTTCAAACTTCCTGGACTTACTATAGACTGGTAATGAAAACAAGAATAGAAAACTCTTGACAAGCCTGAGCATTCTCTGAGAAAGTAACTATGGGCTTCCTTCACCAAAGTGACTTTGGAGTTGATTTTCTTTTTTAGATTTATTTGTTTATTATACAGCATTCCTTCCATGTGTGTCTGCAGGCCAGAAAAGGGCACCAGATCTCATACAGATGGTTGTGAGCCACCATGTGGTTGCTGGGAATTGAACTCAGGACCTCTGGAAGAGCAGCCAGTGCTCTTAACCTCTAAGCCATCTCTCCAGCCCTGGAGTTGATTCTTGAAGGGTACTTCGGGCCCTTGGACTGCCAGGCTGAGAAGCAAACAGCTTATAAAGTCACACTGTGTCGTGGGAACAATCAGTAATGCACTATGTCTGCGCTGATAGAAGGAAGAAGTAGAACACCGTCCTGAGCAAATAGGTCAGGTAGGGCTGTGGAAATCTCACATGTCATGGTCAGGTAACACGTATATGATAGGCTAACTAGGAAAACAAACAAACCAACAAACCAAAAACCTTAAGTAGCCCCCTAATATCTGCTCCAATCCGAACCCCCCCCCGAAACAGCATTCCTTTATGTGTTTATTTATCTGTGTGGTGGGCGTTGCATGTGAACATGCTCACGCACAGAGACGTTTCCAAGAGGAAGGAATCGGTGAGCTCTGTGGTAGGAGCGACCTCACCAGAGAGCACGCACCCGACGGGAGCAGATGTGCCACCGTCGCTGCCTTAAATAGTTGTGCAGAGCGATGGAGAGACCGGACATGTTCTTGTAATGGCCATATGTAGTTTGAAAATGTCTGGATATATAGACATCGTGGCTGTGATGTGAGACTAAGCTACAGACTTACTTAGGGATGTGGGAGTTAATCTCATACCAGTTCGGTCCCAGCCACAAGCCTTGGCAAACTGCCTCTACCTCACTTCTCAGAGACCATGTTTACATTGCAGTAAACTGGGCACACTTCATGTCATCCAAATTCTGCCTCTAGATTTGAGACTTGTCCCTCTTCTAAAGGAAACGTACTCCTTTTCACAGGATAATGATCCTTAATTATAACAACTCATATTAAAAATCTGGCTAAAGTCCAAGAGTACATTTTAACACAATCATTAGTAAATTAATAGTTAGTATAACAATTGTCCCTCGTGCTTTCCAGCTTTTCCTAAATATGAGGTCAATTATTACAGACACGCAATAATACTGTGGACGTGTATTTGAGATTTTTATCGGACGTGGTTGTATATTGTTTTAGTCGTTGTTTTCTCATCTTTTGGGGCACATGTAAGAATGTGGTGTATGTGTGTCTCTGTGTGTGTATGTGTGTGTCTCTCTGTGTGTGTGTGTGTGTGTGTGAGAGAGAGAGAGAGAGAGAGAGAGAGAGAGAGAGAGAGAGAGAAAGAAAGAAAGAAAGAAAGAAAGAAAGCAGGAAAGAAAGAAAGAAAGAAAGAAGAAGAGAGAGGTGTGCATGTATGTGTATTTTGGTACATGCATGCCATAGCACTTGTGGAGACTGGATGTAACCTCATGTGTTGGTCATTACCTTCCATGAGACAAAGAACCCCATTCTACCTTCTTACCATGTTTAGACTCACTTCCTTCCTTTTCTTCTTCAGCTACTAAATGTATTTGCTTATTACTTGATAAAAATGAAATCACACACCACACTGTTCTCTGCTGTTTGCTTTTCTTACTTAATGATACTATGAATAAACTTTCAAGTTAACAGATCTAGGTCTAATTCATTTAAGAGATCCCCAACAAGTATGATCATATCACTATTAAGCAGAGCATTAATTATTGATGAGTATTCAGAACGTCCCTGCCCTTGCCAACGATGTTGCAATCAACATTCTTAAATGTAAATCCCATGTCTGTGAGTTAAGTCAAAAGTGAGTGTACTTTAAATATGAACAGATTTGAAAGATGACTTGTCCCCAAAGACCACTTTCCTTTATTACCACAAGCTCGTCAGCATATCTGGGGATATATTCTGGGAACCAGTAAGACATACGGCTGAGTTCTGAAGCAAGACTACCTGTTATGCACCCTGCCTGGATAACCACACACTCATTAATCAACTGCACTTTATCCAAGTGCCATGTGTAAAAATGGATGTAATGATGCTAGTGCTAATAGGTGTGATGTGTGGCAAATGCTTGGCGGTACCTGGCACAGAGTAAATGCTCCATACGGCTCAGCTACAGTCCCAGTTAGGAATAGATGGGATAGTCATGCGATCGATTCACTGTGTTCCTCAAGCATTTGCTTTGCACAAAGATATGGCAGAAGGCCCTCCCCTACCTAGTTCACTTCAAAGTCCAACTCAGCAGTTATTAAAAGGAACAAAAGATCAAGAATTGCCAGCTGTCCCCGCAATGATACATCATTTAATCTCTTTCCCCACTGTGTTCTGCAAGTGTTTCCCTCTGACTATGACATTTTGGTTTACAGGGTGCAAAGGAAAAGAGCAGGCTTCCTAAACCGTGAACAATGGCAATAGCTCCTGGGCGTTTGGGTACAGAATGGCTGCCAAGTTTTCACGGTAATCACCAGGAAAGCGTCTCATTTCTCAGCCCCTTTTTATTTGAGAGGATGTCACTAGCTCTGTGTGAAAGGAATCAAGCTCCAAAGAAAAACCGGTTTTTGTTTTTTTTTTTTTACAAAGGATGGAAAGTAAACATTACATTTTACTGAGCCACCGATTCGAGAGGGAGGCAGTCCGCATCTTCCCATCTGTTTTGTTGAAGCATGCAGTGAACATTCCATGTACGTATTTACACACAGCTCCAGTTAAAGGTGGACTGAAGCACACAGAGAGATCAAATATTTGAAACTTCTTCTACAGATTACTTTCCTGATTAAGAGACAAAGGGGCACTGAGTCTATGAAGAGCAGGCTTTTCACAAGCAGACTCTTAGGAAACGTGGAATCGACTCACATTTGATTCGACAGAATCCATCAGGCATCTGCTGCGAGTTGCTGCCTATCAGGTACCACGTAGGCACCGGTAAGGAGGAAGCTGCTTTAGTGGGGTTACTTACAGAAGCAAAAACAATTAAAAATGACTGCATCTCCAAACGCCCAGGCCAGCATGGGAGACAAACTACAAAGACAGAAACCCTGGAGCTCCTCACACAACTTGCTGGCAGCTCTGTGGGTGTGAGCATGTCTCTTCAGGCGACTCAGTTGGCCTGTGCCTCTTTCGGACAGCAGAGCTGGTCTCACTTGCAGGCAGGTGGTCTGGTCTGAGACTCTTCTGGGTAGCTTGGCTAAGAGTAGACCTTAGCAATCTTTACTGCTTACAGAAACTTGGGAAGGTGGGGCGGGGGGGGGGGGGATCTAGTGCTCTGGCCAGTTTTAGGTATTTCCTGAAGTTCCTGAGTCCTTTTCTCTCTTAAGTTTTAATCAGCCCATTTTGGAACCTCCTGAGTCTTATGAGTTTCTCTACAGGAGGGAAGGTTTAATCTCTGAGGAAGCTGCTACACTGTTGAACAGAAACAGAAAGATGGCAGGATTAGCAGACTATAGCCAACACTCCATTACGGAAGACAATAAGAGGGCAGTGATACCCCATGCATTAGGTCTCTGTTGGTAGTCACTGAAATTCCATTTAATCTGGCGTAAATGAAGAAAGAAGTATTATTTCATGGAATTAAAAGTATAGATATGTTATCTTGAAGGGCAGGTGGATGCACTGGTTCAAACAGGATCATTGAGAATCTAAATCCCATCTGCCTCTGGTCCCCTGAGTGAAAGTTTCACCCCTACAGGCTGGGTGATGGGAAATGACTTACTACAGCCCTGGTCTGTGTCCTCCCACATGCATGTCTAGTAGAAAGTTTGGCTTCTCTTCCATAGTAGTATGATGTATATTTCATACGTGTTTCCTGTATGGGTCTCTCAGTGGTCTGAATTCCGTTGCAAGCTTATCCCTACACTCACCACAGTGACTGGAGGGCTGTGGGGCTCCAGCTGGTCAAGACTGACTGGCAGGGGTAAAGTCAGACAATGAACTGAGGTTGAGAAATCGGCCAACAGCTCAGAGAAGAGAAAAATGGATCCAAAGCACGCTAGCAACAACAAAAATGCTAACCAAAGATCAGGAGGGGGAGAGTTTAAGTTTAAAAGTAAGAGAAAAGTAACAAATGCTATACAACTGAAGTGCTAAAAAAAAAACCAAACAAACAACAACAACAACAAAAAAAAAACCTGTGACCCAGACAAGTCAAAATCAAATGGAAAACAACAAACTCAAATTTGCAGCATCAGGGAAGGTCAGCAACCCACACAGAAATGAACAAGAAAAATCCTGGAAATGGAAGCATAGGAGAGGGGCATAAGTAGAGTAAGTCAAAATAACTTTAATAAGAAAAATGGTGGCTATTGTTCATAATGAAAGCAAAACCTCTGTTGATATTTTCTTATTAAATATGGCTGCCATATAATACAGTGGCAATGCTACATATGTGGTGATAAACGAGAAGCAACTTCCTGTCAAGTTATCTTGTAATAGTCACCATGTGGTGCCCATATCATTTTATCGCTCCAGCAAATTCGATCTAAAGAAGTTAGGACACATAAGAAAAAGGCTTTCCAATCAAGACACTATAACAAAACAAATGGAAACCACCGGAAACCAAAAAAATACCTACTGCACCTAAATGACGAAATAAAACAGCCTTCTCTACACATACGAAATGGATCTATCCAATGGCATAAAAATATGAGGAATCATTTTCATTTTATTTTTATAGTTTAAAAGTCAAAAAACCATTTATATATATTTCAACGTGTAGGTAATCTAAACTATTAAATAATACAGTAAAATATTCAAGGGAAGTATGTCAAATGGACGAAAGTGTTAAGAAACCCTTTCTTTCCACCTTTCGTTCTTTGCCAACAAAGAACTATTACACAATAAGGGAAAAAGGAACTCTGCTTCAAAACAAAAGAAGAAGAAGTTAATGGGTTGTGTTACACGTGTTAAATTGACGGATCCAAATGCCTCCCGTCTCAGGCTGACACAGAGCATCTGACCCCGAGGAACAGTGTGCGTCTATCTCTTTGAAGCGCCAGCCCCAGAGATAAGCTGACTTGTGAGCCTAAGGATTTGCTAGCCCTACCAGATAAGGAATTTTAAACACAGAAGGAAACTGCAGAGCCATTGGCTGGTCAACATCAGGAGAGCCTCTCTGGCCGAGCTTTTGTTTCCTCTGGTCAGTGGCCCTGAAAGCAAGTCAGATTACACTGTAGTTTTTGCACAGGATGACAGACTCCTGGCACTTAAGAGGAGGGGAGGAGGAATGCCAGGCTGGAGAGATAGAGGAAGAAAGGACACCCAGTGGGGAGCCCTGAAGATAAGATCTCCAAAGAGAGTCTCGGATTCGGCTTCGCATTTTCCAAGGCCTGAGGAGCAAATAAAACTTCCTAGAAGGGGGTAGGGAATCAAATGTGAGTTAGAAGTCTTGGCCTGGCCTATTAGGTATTCTCAGGGACCCTTCCTTATTCTTACATCTGCTAATCATTTATTGAGTATATACAATAAGCACCGGGTGGCTCCCCACAGGTTCTACTAATAGAATCATACAAGGGGCAAACAGGCCAACAATCAGGCCCATAGGACATGACTATGGTATCAGGGTCACTTTCACACCAAGGAAAGCTTTTTGGAGGAAGCCGGCTCTGAGGCATAACTTCAGAAGAATTGACCCAGGGTTGAGAGGTGTTTCAGAAAGGAAGAAGCATCTGGCAGGCAGAAGAGGAGGCAAAGACATGAGAGGTGGAGAGCTTTTCAGGGAGCTTCTCGAGTATGGAAAAAAAGGATAGGAAACGGACAAATGACATTTCCTGTTCCCCTCAGATTGATTTATAGAGAAGGTGAGAGGAGAAAAAAAAAACGAAAGAAAAACGGGTTTTCCACAGTCACCTACTTTGTCACCTTTTCTTTTGTTACAAAATACGTACCTCTTAGCTCTCTGGCCATCTGTGATGCCCTTTCAAGGTTGCAGACCAAATGAACAGAAACAGGACAAGTGGTCTCTGACCTACGGAGGTGCTGTGGCCATCATATAAAACAATATGATCAGCCAAGCCACAGATGACTAGATAATCATACTACCTTCCATTTGCAACCACAATCCATTTTAGCTGCAAGAGACCAGCTAATGGGTGGCCAGATGCCATCCAGCTGTCATGTGTCAGGTGCAGAATGCATGTGTGCACTGATGATTACACAGTCTCATGTGGAAGGTCACAGGCAAACCTAAATGACATATATTTCTTTGATATGGTATAACAATGGGATGGGATGTAACACTTTCATTGAGTCTTTACTGTGTGTTTCCGCGTTTGAAAAGTAAAACCGAGGAGGGAAAACCCTAAGGTAGCTCAGCTTCGCTATCTAGTGTACACCGGCATAGGAGGGGGGGACAGAATGGGAAATGAATATTGACACACAATTCAAAAGTAAATGATCACCACGTGGTGGTGCCACACGACTTTAATCCCAGCACTGGGGAGGAGGCAGGCGGATCTCTGTGAGTTCGAGGCCAGCATGGTCTACGAGCAAGTTCCAGGACAGGCTCCAAAGCCAGACAGAGAAACCCTGTCTCGAAAAACAAAATCAATCGTTTTGCAAAGCAATTTAGATGGGTTGCTCTTACGGTTTCTGTACAACTCACTTAATGGTTTAGGCTTAACGGAACTACGGGGCAGATCTTACAACTCCTCTGCAGATGAAAAAGCTCCCCCAAATATAATACGGTCAAAAGAACACTGTTTTGGTTAGCGGTTCCTCACAGTGATAGCACACACAAGAAAGCAGGGTGCGGCAGGAAAGCTTTAGTTCAACTCATAAATTCGGAGCTCTGGGTCATGGTCACTTGGTTCCAATGCTTCTGAACCCTGTACATGATGAGGCAGACACCAAGGTGTGGAGAAGGAAGGAGATCAGTGTAGCACCTCATGATGGACAGGAGGCAGAGACAGAGATGGGAATGGTCATGGGCAACACATGTTCTCCAAGATGTGTCTCTTTGTTCTTCAACCAGTCCCCACTTCCTGAGAGCGCGGGAAGAATGACTTCATCAATGATCAGTCCGTTGTTGAGGTTAGCACCTCCATGGGTCAATGTCAACAGTGCCACATCAGCTGGAGACCAAGCCTTCAGCACATGAGCCTTCTGTATCCAAGCCATAGTAGATGCGACGTCAGAGAACACCAAGTTTGAACTCAAGACCACATTAATTCAAAACTTATGTGCTTCTGCTGTTGACTTAGCCTTTCTGAACAGAAGTAACAACCACAACGAAGGAATGGCCTATCTGACATTTTATTTTACTTTTTTTCTATCAGAATTTCTCCCAGTTTGATTCGGGACAGGAAGATGCCAACCATAGATACTGGCTCATGAGTGGAACAATCGGGAGCTGGCAAACTTTTCTGTAAAGGGCCAGACCATACATACATTGAACTCTGAAGCCCTTCAGTCTCTCACAGCTCTGCTTTTACAATGTGAAAACAGCCACAAACAGTGGGCAATGAATGGATGCTGGCTGTGTTGCAAGAAGAATCTATAACAAACAGGCAGTCATTCAGATTTGGTTATTGCCTGTAAACAGCTAGTCTCTGGTGGCCTTGACGGTTACCTTCTTTCCTTGGTAGGTAACCACGTGATCAGCTGCAACCATGTCTGCTGAGGAGGTTTGGGGGAAAGATTTTGTTTTGTTAATGAAGTCAAGACTAATATGTTAGCCCCATCTTTTCCTTCCTCTAAGAGATGTGCAAATCCTGGAGCCGATGCAGTCATCTCTCTGAGATATTACATACAGAACAAAAAGACCAACTGCTGTGACAGCTGCCTGGAATCCCAGCAACGTGGGAGGTGGAAGCAGAAGTATCCAAAGTACGAGGCTCCCCTGCGCTACTACTTGGCTTCAATGTAGTGATGCCCATCAAGGCTACTTCCTTTATATTTCCCTAGAAAGTCGAACAAATATTAACAGCCTCCATGGGCCTAATAAACTATTTTTTTTTACTCTCTATGGTCAGATTTTTCTGTTTGTAAGACAGACGAATTAGCAAGTCATTAGAGTAAGTCACTGGACACTGTGAATGTCAGCATCGATGGCACAGGGGAAATGCTGACTTTCTCTCCATCGCCTCTCAAAGGAAACTGACGTCATTCTCCTTGCGATCAGCACGGGCACTTTGCATAATCTCCTTTTATGAATGTGTCCCCCTCATGTGGATTATTTTTCAGGATCTTCTCTAGTTGCAACCTCCTTTTACACGCCCAAGACCTCAAACCAGGAAAGAAAAGGACTAGGGAGAACATCACAGTCAGCAGGAGCCTGATTATGAAAGGCGGTCAGACAGCTGCCAAGCACACTGGAACCTGCACTTCCCTCGGTAACTATGAATCAAAGTCTCCCTCTGCTGACCCAGCCTGCACTGCATGCCAAGAGTGCTCATCCGGGCCAGCTTCAGACGTGAAGACAGGAAGCGAGTGGGCTGCCCCGTGCCATGTTGGTGTCATAGCAGACCCTCAGGACGTAGTCCATGTCTTTCTTCTCCTCTATCCACCTGGCACCCTCGCCCTGGGATTGTTACAGGATCAGATTAAGTTTGGGAGAGAGCCCCATGAAGAAGACAGCTTTAGCATGAACTAGAAGAGAGATTAGAGAGTGGTTAGTGGTTAGTCCAGAGGCTGGGAACAACAAGGAATAAGAGTTCAGAAATGCCCAGGGTCAGTTTAATCAGTTTTGGAGAAACGTATATATATATATCATAACTGTTGTTATCCAAAGGCAGCCACAGATACTCTATAAAAGACTAAGCCTTAGATATGTTTCCATAATCCTACTTATAAAATCAGGCAATGGTCCAGGCCACTCCCTTGGGTCAGTTTGCCTATCCTTGTCCTACCTATATTCATGTGTGAGGAGCACAGCATGACTTGCTACCAGTCTGGTAGTGCAGAGAGACTGATCAGATTAGAAAGCCCTGGTCTTGGGTAGGAACCTCTAAACCTGCTGCATCCACCCACCCTCAGTCAGAACTTCTTACCCAGGGCCATGTGAAGTTACCCTTTCAGTTGGTGCGTGTGAGCCTTAACTGAGGCCCAAAGCATCCCACCTGCCATGCTTGCCTAAGAAGCGACACTTCACCTTGGTCTGTTCCCAGGATCGTTAGTACAGTAAAGGCTTGTAGCTGCAGAATGAAGAAGCAGGGTGGGAGGTTATGCCTATGGGCAGCTGAGGTGGGGGGGGGGCTCCCCTTACTGTAGACTGGTGTGGGAGAATTGTCTGTATTCTGTCAATCATATTTTAATAAAACGCTGATTGGCCAGGCAGGCAGTATAGGCGGGAAAGCCAGACAGGAAGTAGGGGTGGAGCAAAGAGACAGGGAGTATTCTGGAACACAGGAAGCTTCCTCAGCCACTCCTGCGCAGACCACCGAAGAGGCAGCATGTAACTGGCCCAGCTGAAAAAGGTACCAAGCCATATGGCTAACATAGATCAGAATAATGGGTTAAGATAAGTCATAAGAACTAATAAGTAGCCTGACCTAATGGACCAATCAGCTTTATAATCTTATGGAGTCCTGTGTGTGATTTTCCTGGGGAGTTGCCGGTTGTGGGGTACTGGGCGGAACAGAAACCCCAACAAGCCAGCCCTCATGTTACAGTAGACATCTCAGAATGAGGGTTCGTTTCAGTTTAATAAGCTTGACAACCTTGGTTTGGATTAATACACTGTCAAGCCAGCATTCTGAGCTACCAAAAGTCTGTCACTGTAGTGTTTAAAGAACTTGAACTATAAACCCAGCACTGGGAAAGCAGAGACAGGCAGATCTACTCTAGGCGAGAGAGAGAGAGAGAGAGAGAGAGAGAGAGAGAGAGAGAGAGAGAAAAGCAAAGCTGAAGGCTCCCAGGAACAATACCCAAGGTTGACCTCTGACCGCTACACACACACACACACACACACACACACACACACAGAGCATGTGCATGCAGGCACACATATATGTGAACACACATACGATAATAGATACACACGAATTTGAAGATGGCTGCCCTCCTCGGATAGTGTAGTGAACTAACCCCATGGAACCACTCATCCACAATGTCTCTCACGTGTCTCATAGTGATTCACGTGTACAGACTTTATCTGTAAAAATCAGCTGAGATGTAGACCTTTTCATGGTAGGAGACGCTTGTAGATCTCACAGAACTGGGTATTTATGTATACAAAATATATAGTATTAGATTAATTTTCAAAGGAGTACATTTATGGAAAAATTATAAAATAAGAATGATTTTTCAACAGTTTGAATTAAGCTGTCTATAGAAAAAGAACAACAACTCTATTTGGTCCACCTGGGAAATGCTTATTTAAACGCAGCTAGTGTCTGAAGCATTGATTCATTCTTCCTCTAGGGAGAATAATTTCCCTGCACTGAGTCCTGCGCAGTGTGAATTCTGCTACAGGCACAAGTTGTAGGCAGCATTCCACAGCATGCACCAGCTTATAGTTATTGTACTGAAAGGAAACATTTATTGTATCCGGATATCAGAGGTTGGCCTGTACCTTCGGGGAAGTATCCAGACACAGTGAAACATAGTTCATCACAGTGAGGATACACATGCAACTGGGCTATTATGAGGAGTGGGGAGAGGAATGGGAGGTTAGTTTAGACTTGCCTTAATAACAGCCTCTACGCAGTGAAATGTGGCAATTCCACACTAGTTGATTGAGTGGTATAATCCCCTTTTTTGCACTGGTAAATAGTCCCAAATTGCCATTTATATGAATTATGTTACAAGAAATGTGTAACTGTATCAGAGAGATTGCTTAAACAAGGGGGATAGAATTTTAACAGTGGCGTTAAAAATGGCATCTTCCCCTTTATATGGAGGTTCTAAAAGTCTCTGAGAACCTTTTAAGGACAGAGTTATTTACTTGCTGTATAAATAAGATGGACTCACTATAGAAATAAAAAGAAGGAACTAAAAATTATCTCCAAGCCTTAAATCCAGAGACAGCCAGTGCAATAATTCTGAGGGAGTTGCACCCAGTTCTGTTCTCTCTCCTCCCAGTCCCTTAAAACAGCTCTATCTTAAGACCTGGGACTGACAGACTGGCCATCACAAACATTTCCCAGACCCCTGAGAATATTTCAGCATGTTATACATACCCTTATGTTAACTATCTTCAGTACACTATAGGTCTCTCCATTTTAATGTAGAAGATGAACGTGTAGCATTAGAAATGCTTTTCAAACTGGAATTACACACAGCTCTACTGTTGTAGTGTGATTATTTCATGTTATCCATCCTCTTCTCTATAGAGCCGAAGCCATTTGCTGTGTGTTTCACAGAAAGCACATTACAACTTGCCTTGCACATTCCTTAGAGAGACTTCTGTACTAGAAAGGTCTTAGAATCTCACCAGCAAAGTCACTTAAGAAGTTATGAGAAATTCAAGTCATTGGGCTCCTCCTGGATCAGAAATGGAAGATTAGAGCAGCTGTGTGCATGCGTGCATTGCGCACGTGAGTGTGTGTGTGTGTGTGTGTGTGTGTGTGTGTGTGTTTAAAAGTTTACAAGCTCCCAGGAAATTATAATGCCCACCAAGATTTTCCCTAGAGGACGGACAATCTGTGAACCATCTTTTGGGAAACAGTCTGTAAATTTGCCTTTCTGGAAATCTTTTATCCTCTGTAAGTTTACAGACACAAATTCCTGTCCCCTCTCTTTGCTCAGGAGTAAACTACGGGTGCAGTAGCCTTCCAAGATAAGGATTAGGCAGAAGAATTAGTAAGAGTGTTCTGTAAACTCCTAAGTGGTGAAGTCGTACACAGACATTAGTCATTGTTATGGTGACCCTGAGTTTAGGCCGGAAGATTTATATTTTCAGGCCCTGGGGAGAGCCAAGTGGAATGTGGACACAGATGGTTCTTAACTTTCACGTATTTAACTTTTACACAACCCAATTTTCACACATTACACATGCCACCCGAAAATGCCTTTCCCACACCAGATCTGGAATTCCATACACTTACAGCTCAATGAGCAATTTGAGGCATCCTGTGGCTGCCCCGCCAGTCAGCCACAGCTTGGCTCCAGCAAGGTCACTTCTTTTCCTGTCTAAAGTTCTTGTGTGTGTGTGTGTGGTTTTTTTTTTTATTGCGTCTTACCACCATTGTTTGCAAAGCAAACAAGAGGCGAAAACTGTCTTCAGTCATCCTGAGCGCCTATTATATTTCTTTGGCAGGCTTGGGCTGTGATTGGTCCTATTTTTGTTTTATGAGTGTGATGGCCTTACATACCTCCTTGTTCACAAATCAGTGCTTTTTTTCGGGTTCTTCTCTGTTTCCTCTGCTCAGTCTGCTCTTGCTCCTTCTCAGTCTTACGTCTGGTTAACCTAGCTGTGTATTTTATAAGCTTGGGTATCTGGCACGGGCTCCCTCTGCAGCTGTGCAGACTTGCTTTTCCCTAAAGGTCTCTGGCCCAGAAGAAGGATTGATTGTGGTGTTCATGTAAGTGCACGGGTAACTTGACGACGGAGGGAGGGGGAGCTACTTTAGAAAGCACGGGCACAGAACAACAAGCAGCTGGAGTGGCCTTGCCCTTCCTCCTTCCTCTCAGCTCATTGAAGACTAAAGATGGCTTACTTTAGTATGGTAGAGCTTCGGTGGGTTTTGTTCTAAACAAAGATGGTGTATTTTTTTTGCTCCTTCCGAGTCCATTTTAGAAGTTTATATAGTCATTTGCCTCCGCCCTCTACCTGGAGATCCCTATTCCTCCTACATCAGAGGGTCACACACTTGGAGAACTGTTCTGCTGTGCTTTCGACCCAAAGCCTCCAGCTGTTGTTGCTGCTAGCTACTTGATGGTAATGGTGATGAAGTCAGGCACACGACTGGCCTTGGTGCTCTAGAAGGTCACCATGTGTGATTCAGGTCCCCCTCTTCCCTGTATTTCTACTCTGGGACTTGCGCATGCGTTCACCCAGCACCTGGGTCAGCTGAATTCACAATAGTGTTTCAAGTTGACCAAGAGCAGACAGAAATTTAAGGTAAGAAATTACTACAGAGAAATAATTGTAGTGTCTGGGGGGGGGGGTAGGGGTGCGCACGCATGCGCAATGCAAACACACAAGCAGATAGCTAGCCTCTGAAGAACATGCAGAAGCAAAAGGATCTACACTGTTGCTCTCTTCTTAAATTTTTTTTTTTCTGAGGTTGGGTCTCTCACTGAACCCAGAGCCTGACATTTCAGCTAGAACGGATGTCCAGCCTGTTTCCACACCTATACCCCTCACACACCAGACCCCTATCCTTCCTCGACTCTGGGTTACACACATGAGTGACAGGGCCCAGCTTTCTAAGTGGGCGCTGCGGATTTGGATTTAGGTCCATGTATTTGCACAACAAGGTCTTTGCCCAAGCCAGCTCCATAGACTCTGCCTTGGTTGGTTATTGTGGTTGCTGGCTTTACATTTTAAATAATCAAATATAAGCACTTGGGTTATAATCAAATAGTAGTACTTGGGTTTCTATTTTTAACCTAAGATTAAAATATTTAAAATGTGTACCGGGGAATTTATAACTTGTTTAGTTCTTCAGGATAAAATTCCTCATGTAATATGTAAGGTTACTGTTTTACTTTTATATATTATACTTTTCACATAAATTTTCAGGAACTCATTAAACACAAAAATACAGCACCTCCCCCAAAAGATATAATGAGTAGAAAAATATTAAGAAGGAACCATTAGACCCTTGGGCTAGAAAAACAAATATCTGGGTATTTTATTAGTTCCCTAGCAACCTTATAGCAATTTTGTTACCCTACCATAGTATTTACCAGTGTCCAGCCCTGTGTAGCTAGTTTTCTCTCGGCAGTAACCAACTCTGAATGCAGAGAGTCTTCTGCATTCTGCCCAGGATTGCTTGGACTTCCAGTTCTCCGTCCTGTAATTTGTCCACTGTGGGCTCCTGCCCATGGTTTTGGTACAATCTCCTGCGGTGAACTGGCAGAGCGGCACCACCCAAACTTTGAGGCTTCTGGCAGAACATCGTTCTGGTGATGCTATGGTTTCTCCAGAGTTAACTGCTGAGAAATCCTGGCCAAGGCTTGCTTTGCCTATG